TACACAAGGGTTATGCATGATAACAATAATCTACATATAGTTCTTGAAACCTCTGAACATTTATTTCTCTACATGCATGCTCTATTAGAACACATAGGTTCGAGAAGTCAATTTGACACATATATGTGGTACCTTAGTACACAAGCACTTTCAAAAGTTCCACCTTTTGAAAGTGCTCAGGTTATAGGGTATTGCATCTTTGTATTTCTCTACATGTACAACTGAGCAGCGTAGTGGTATAATGTTAACTGATTTATTAATTACCTACATGCTAGTTATACAACTTGATTACTTAAAAAACAGCTTATTGTTTAACATCAATATTGAAAAAAAAAAAAGGTTAAACTGATCAATAAATTAACCCACAAAATTGTCTTGACTCAGTAAATATCTATTATACACATACAATAAACAGTTAAATGTCTATCATTACCTACAAATGCATTCTTATGATTACTGTTATTCAATAAATTATTATGGTCATGTGATACCAAAGATGTTTGTATTGGTTTTCTGAATATATTAGAATTAACACTAAACTTATCTATAATGGTGTACTAATTATCTTATTGCTAAAAATAAAACTGAGAAAATGAACATGCTAACATTCCACTGCCTAATAACAGATCAAATATTATTGATGCTATTGTTTCTATGAGCACATTTTTTATTGAAACAAATATGTATCACCAAAGTAATATTATTTGTAAAGTGAATGTGATACATCAAAACTAATAATATTTTAAACAATGTAGATATCTGCAAACTATCCATGCTGCTAGTTTATTTCAGCATCAATTCTATTACTTACTCCAATACTGTTACACCACATCACCTGTAAGTGAGCTAATTAGAAGCACCACAGAATGTTGATTTCATTCAATATGTGAAAATTTGTTTAGTATCGGACAATAGCAAGTTTAAGAGGATTAGAGCTGACCCGACAAAAACACTAAAAACAGACGTCAATAAATTGATCGCCACTGTCAACAAACAAGCAAAAGAAAAGGTTCTCCAACCTATCATAGGAGACTATGCGCCTGGATATATCTACGGAACCGTAAAAACTCATAGACAAAGACTGTATTGCTTGCTTTTGGTAAACCAAAGGTTCTAACATTTCCTTGAAGATTGGACAAAGCTGAAACAGTATAGGTCATTTTGATTTTATAATGACTGCAAATACCAATTTTTGGTTAAGTTTGGTATTAGATGCATGATACTATTATAAATATATTATATTTTGATTTTATAATGACTGCAAATACCAATTTTTGGTTAAGTTTGGTATTAGATGCATGATACTATTATATGTTAGCTCTGTTCCTTCTTATTCAGTATTACGATGAACAATTTTCTATGATAAATTTCCATATGTAATTATAAAAATCCTTGAAGTTTAAAACCAGTTTTTAGTAATTAATTTAACTTCTTACCCTTTACACTTAAAAATTTCAGGTCCTTCAAATCCAAAAGGATCATCTTCATCTGGTACACATCTCATTTCATAATCCTTGGTTAGTAATGTATTACTAAAATATTCATTTGGCTTAAAATGGAACTCTAATGTAAAACCCTGTGAATGAAAATATTATTCCAGTTACTAAACAGATAGAGAGAATATATATACTCTCTCTGATGTGCAGTTCTCTTCTAACCTGTTCAGAAAATAGTTCACGAACAAAAACAATATTCTAATTGTTTTAAAAAAAATAATGTATTGATATTTTTAAAACATACATAACAATATAATGGTATTAAATAATATATTAAACTATAAACAATAACATTAAAAAATGGTTGGTGGAACAAGCAACTTTAAATTTTTTCTTATGAAACTGAACTACTTTTCATTAGGAAAGAAAATCTGGCAAATGACTTTACAAATTTAATAATCTAAAACAACTTTTAAGGGAGTGGAATCTTTGAAAAAACGTTTCTTGTCCAAAATGTTATAAAAAAATATAGTCTTTCCACAAGTTACAAAATGTATCATATTTTTTGGACAAAATTATTTATATCCCTAGGACTTTTTTAGTCCAAATGCTGCACGTCCATCAAACAAATGCTATTGGTAGTTCAATTTTCTCAGTAATGGCATACACCACATTTTGCATCCAGGCTCTTCATATAACTTATAACTTTGAGCATTTAGTCTTAGTATTTTCTAGTGCAGCTTGTAGAATATTCATACCGATAAAGAAATCACAGTTTACATTAATATTGCTACAAACTAATATGTTTGAAGCTTTTTTAGTAATTTTGTATTATGTTATATATTCCTAGAGCTAGTGGCAAAACTTTACTAGGCTCCTACTGTAGACAAAAGCAATGTAATAATATTATTGCATTGATCTAAATATGTTTATTACTCTGTGTGTGACCGAGGGTTTGTGAATTAAATGGATATGTATACAGTTTGGGTTTAAGATTCAGAGGTATGCACTAAAGAATTAAGTAAGTAGCTTCACAGAAAAACGAACGCTATAGATTTCAAAAGGAAACTATGTGAAAAATGTAGACTTACCATTGGATTAGAATCTAATAATTTCACTTTAACATCTGTAAGGTCTTTAAGGATAGGCTCATCATGTTCCTACACAAAATAAATAAAAATCTTTACTTTTATTTGTATTTAAAAGCAAAGCTAGTAAAAGTTATCTCCTGCTACCTATAACTTTGAAGTACTGACAGTATAAACTACAATGGTTGCTGTGACATTCATTCTAAGTTGCTACTAATCAATTATCTGAGTTGCATTGCAGTACTCATTAGATGCTAAAAACTTAAACTGACAGTATGTTGTGCTTCTAGCAATGTGCTAATGCTACCACTTTATATCTGTAACAAGCAAAATTAAATACTTTTGTTTTTGAAGAAGCCAAATAGCCATATAATGTATTTTTATATTAAACCACCTTTTACACACACACATATATATATGCACTATATAAAACCCATGCCAGTTATAACCTTAAGTGATTCTAAACTTTTCCATTTTCTCCTATTCATTTTATAAAACTCACCAGAGATAATAAGTACATTATTGTTATTTAAAGAGCATTTTACGTGACTAATCAAGGCAGAGTAAATGAAACAGTTATTAATCTCCTAACTAGCTACATCACTACTTCTGACATATACTTTCATCAATAACATAAACATATCCATTATAATTACTGAACTGGCAAATTATGAATATAAGCTAAAATTATATTGGATTTTGTCTAACAACTTAAATGAAGAAAACTTACATCTAACCATTCTAAGTAAAATACTGTAGAGCGAATTCACGATGTGATGCAATTTTACAGAGGCTGGGTATTTTATGAAGCAATACAGCCAGTAACCCTTGGAGTTCACACACTTGCAACAAGCTCCAGTTTTAGAAAGTCTGGGTACTTTACAAAGTAATACAGCCAGTGACTCTTGAAGATCACAAACTTGCAACAGGCTCCAGTATAGGAAAAGTAAAATATTTTCAGATACTGCTCATGAGGGTAAATTCAATAATGCCCAGTAATCAGTGTGAGTAAAATTCTTAGCTGCACCAATAAACCATCATCTGAATACACAGAGCTTATCTGTATTTCTACCTGCAAATGTTTTATTTTTTGCCTGAAGTAGTTTTTGATGTTAACAAACCAACAGGTGAAATACACACAATGTGCAGATAAAACACCACCCACTCCACATTAGACTATTTAATGATGTCTAAAACTCTACAGGTCAAAATATAGAAATGTTTTTAAGTTAGCAAACTGTGAAGGATTGTACCAAAGGGAAATGTCTGACCACCTCAATATCCACAGATATAATATTATCTTAATCATATTCCACAAACCATGGCAGAGCTTTGTGGTCATTAGACTAATGTGCTGTTGCAGCAAAGTATGTATAATTATCTTACAATGGGGTCGGTCGAATCAACCGACCTTGTAAACACTTCTGTACTCATTATAGCTTCCATACTATAACTTTTAATATACTTTGTATACCTACACAAATTTGGCAGACTTTTAGTAAACAGTACGAGTCTTTTGTACTAAAAAAATATCAACTTCGTCATCAAGTAATTTTACTAAATATTTGTCTGTGAATATATATAGTATTTCTATATACTAGTCTAAGTGCTAAGTGATATCTATGTTAAGATAAAAAAATACTTTTCTTTGTCTCAAAAATCTCAAATTTTATTTGCATAATCTCTAAAACCTTCTAAATAAACTTTAAACATTTTTTTCAGTAAAACTTTATATTTTATCTGTTATTTTCTCTACCTTAACTTTATACAAGTTAGGTCAATTTGACTGACCTCACAACCACCAAAAACAAATCGAAATATATCTAAACTGCCCCTTTTTTTCTTTCTAGAATGACTTCAAATTGTAATATGAAACTACATTTGTTTATCTTAAATAGCTTTAAACTCATAACAGTGACTGTCTATTTATATTTAACTTTTATTGCCCTTTGAACAATGTCGAACTACTATTCATTCCTTATAAGTTGTAAATCATATGGTGAATATGTGCAACTCATGTTATACTACTGATTACATTACACACAAGCAGCTCATGCATGCCTCATGAAATATTTTATTATATTATTTATTTCATCTAATCTAACATTAACTAACATAAAAGTTTCACATTTTTACATTTTTATTACTATTATAATAATAAACAAAGAATACCCATGAAAATAAGAAAAAAGTATTCACCCAGGTATTTTTATTTTTGGTGTGAACGACACGTAACCATACTATTTTTATATTAATGGTAGTACTGCACTAAATCTTTTTATTCAATTTAATAGTGCTCCAATGAACATGGAATTATAATGTGCAAAAAGCAGACAATGTCCCATAACTCACAATTTTTATGGCTTTCTAGCTATATGATAAGAGCCGTTAAAACTTCATCTAAACTCATCAATGTGCTTCCCATGGGAATCAAGCTCGAAATTAAAGTGAGATTGACAATTCACTTTACATAAAACAACATAATATAATACGTCACTTAATACATAAAAATCTTGGCTTTTCATTGGTTCTAAATAATATAGTATTGAATGGCAGAGAGAACTATCGGCAATTTCTGAATGAGGTTGCGACAAGTGGACATGGCAAGACAGATATGGTTGTCCATTTCTTGGTTTTGTAACCAAATGAGATAGAAGGCTATGAAAAGTATGCTTTGTCTGAGTGATGACGATATTATAATAAGTAATTTATGTTAAATGCTGTACTTCTAGGAGGGGTGGTAAATGAGTTAGAGAAGAGGGGATGCCTAGAGAGCAATTGTCACAATTCTCACACTGGGAGAAATTCTAGATTTGTTTTAATATTGCCTTATAAAAGTAATAACTTAAAACTTATATACTATGAAAATAAAGATTATTAGATATGCTTATATGCTATATTTATTGTTATACCATAAAAAGAAAGTAGTTTAATTAAAATTCTGAATGTAACTCACTAAAACCTTGTTCTTAATTCTGTGTAACAATATCAAAATTACCTACCCAGGGTCCACTTCTTAATCCTACTGAATATTTTTGGAATATGGAGGTTGATTTAAAGTCACACCACAGCCTTATAGTTGTCATTAACTAGACAAGCTTTCAAAACAACAATATATTAAGCCAATAAATAAATGTCCAGATACTTTTGGTAGGGCAGAGTACATACTTATACTTTTCATCATTCCCCCAAAAGAAGAAGACAAAAAAACATTTATAGTGTGAAAATTGCATTAAAAATTCCAAAGAAAACATGCATAAAATTTTTTATAACACTACTAATTCATTTGAAATTCAGTCTTTTCAGTGGCTTCTTGATATTCAATAGTAACTTAATATCCACCAATTTCCAAAAATCAGAAATATTAATTATGAAATACGAGGGAGTTCTTGGGTTGCAGTAAATTTAAGTCTAAAACATACAGTACTCGTTACTTCTTTTTTTGTTGTCTCCTCAGAGCATAGTATTAAATGTTTCTGCTATGTTATGTTCACCAAACAGGATTTAATATCAACTCACACTTACAACATGAATCACGTGAGCCAACTGAAATAATTAAAATTAATCTGTGTTTTTAAAACACACACCAACAAATACACAACAGACTAAAGTGAATCCTTATTTATTCAATCACTGTACTGCACTTTCAGCTCAGTTTCAGGTTGTCTGAAGATTCTGCATAATCTTATAGGCAACTATGCCTATACATAAAATGACTGTTTGCCATTGACCCTACTTCTTCTAATGACTTTCTGACACCGAAAACTTCAATCACAATTTGTACTTCAACTAAGAGCTATTTGAATTTAAACTACAGTTGGAACTGCAACATCATCTTTGCTTGTTGTATCATTACAAATTAAGGGCACCTTGTACCTCAATAAAGATGAAAAAACAATACGTTTGTCCATCATCTACTTCTGTGTTTTCAATTGCAAATGAACAAAATATTTGTGAATGATCAATATAATACTAAAATAATCTGAAGTCAGAATATAAATTGAGCTTGAATTGCAGTTAAAATCAGTCACAGTTCAGTTTGCAGTGTTAAATATTTTTGGAAATTGTAAAAGTTTACAGGTGTTTTAAAATTAAATACAAGAATAAAGATAGATGATACTTCCAACCAGAAGTTGTAAGAAAAAAATGCTGACATGGTAACTATACATACCTGAATCCTTTCCGATATCATTTCAACATTTTTAAATGTTGTTAACCAGAACTCTGGGATACCCTTAGTATCATCTGAAATAAGATTTAAAAAAAAATTCAAAATACCACATCCAATAAAAAAAACCTGTACATTTGTAAAAGATAAGAAAGTATCATGAACCAGAAACAAACTAACAAAATTTATACATATCTAGACATGCCTTGCTTTTGGAAAAGAGCAGAAAGTGGAATAAGGAGTCTCAGGAAACATCCTCAGGTCTATTTTTCTCGTGCTAAGAATTTACTCAAACTTCCACCTAGTGTTATTTCTCATGAATTTTTCTAGTATGCATATTTTTTTTATGTAAAGTTAAAAAAAAAAAAAATTACAGTGTCACCACATACAAAGATATTATATTCTGTAATCTTGTCACAAGTAAGAAAAGTATAAACAAATTGAAATAATCTATAGCAAGATTCTTTTTAAAGCTTGCTTTCAAACACATTTATAAACTGGAGATCTTTACACAGCATAGAGAAATTCTTACCATTCTGTGTTTCATTTTGTTCTTTGTTTTCATTATCTTTATTTTCCTTAGATTCTACTTTAGTCTTCTTTTTGAGTTCATTCTGAGAAAAATATACAAAACTTATCTACAAGACATTGTGCAATGAATATGATTTGATCATATATAGAAATTAACAACAAAATAATTTAAACTATTTTCCCTTTGCAAATGTTGCTAGTAATTTTGTATAATATCACAATTAAAATTTAATATAAAAATTTTTCTTTGAAACATTAAAATTATTGCAATTATAGTACAGATATTAGGGGGGGGGCAGCAACAAAAGAGTAAAATATTACTTACACATTGAGAATTAAAATATCTATGAATTTCAATACTAAAACCTCGTATGGATTTAAAGTAATAATATATGAATCTTTCAATCTAACCACTACCATAATCAAAACATTTCCTTTAACTCTTATCAAGTAACATTAAATACCAAACATGTCCATTCTGACAAATAACGAAATAAGTTCAGTGTACTCAGTTGAGCAAACTGTGGAAATACCACAGGAAAAGCTGAATAACCATGCAAACCATCAGAAATAACAAGCTACCAACCACAATAATGAACTGATGTTTTCTTTTGTTCACTACCATCAAGCTACTTTTGTTCACTACCATCAAGCTACTACATTATTTCTCATGAAAACGTGGATACTTACTGTTATTTCATCATCATCTTTTTCAGAGTCAGAAGGAAAATCACATTCCCCATCTGTTGGTTCAACTTTTCCATTAATAATTTCATTTCGCTATAAAAAAGTTTCAGGAAAACTGTTAAAAAAGGTATTGAAATATAAAGTGACTCTCTCTCTCTCTCTACATAAACTCCTTGTTATAACCACAATGTAACTTGTTTTTATGTCAAACAAATGGGACTCTCATTATGCATTGACTATCAATCACTTCACAAGAAAAAACAAAAGCATATTTATACAAGAAATTCACTATTAACAACTATGAACAAGTTATCAATATCAAGATTCTTTACACAGTAATACATAATCACTCATTGATAAACTGTCAACAACTTTGCTATCACAAAGAAAAAGTATACAAAAAATTTATGTAAAACAAAATATGGTTTAACGTGGAAACATGAAAACCAACCTGATATAAAAATTCATGGTTTAATGTAGAAACACTAAAACAAACTTTATTTAAAAAATCATGGTGTAACGTTACACGAAAATCAACTCAATGTGAAAAAAAATCATGGTTTTAATGTTACACTAAAACCAACATTATGTAAAAAAAATCATGGCTTAATGCTACAAACACAAACATTTTAAGATCAAAAGGTGTATAAACATTTTAAAACTGATAGAGTCATAAAGAAATGTATTACAGTTTTATTAGACCTCAATGTCTATTTAAAAAATCTTGTAATACTTGAATTATTTTGGAATCCCTAACCATGTGGAATACACTTTACAAACAAGGTTCATTTCAGATATTTAAAAAAGCTCCAATTAAGGTTTTAACAATTCTCATCTACAAAGATCTGAAATTTGTTAACACTCATTTAAGAAAATGCTCTAATATTATTGAATATCCAGCTAGTATTAACTTATTTAGATATAGTACAATTTGTTCAACATTACAAGTTTTTATTCACAAAGCTCATAAACTCATTCATTGTTTTTTAACAAATGAGGTTTCTCCTACTGCATTTGGAAAATAAGATTTATTCAAATTTGAGATAATTTTAACAATTTCAAGGTAATGAAAACAGCATCATACACTTTAAAAACAATGTAATTATAAAGAAATGTATGTAAAATAAAAACATAGCTCTACCATCAATGACTTAACACTTTACCATAGGAATGTGAAATGATAAAAAAACAAATGGTGAAGCTGAAAAACAAAACAGCTTGAGCTTTGTTGACAAGGGCTCTATTAAACAGAAACTGAAGAACATTCCTAACAATATATTCATCAATTTCCAACTGAAGAACTTAAAATAGCTTGGATCATTAGATCCAAATGAAATTTTATCACATGCCATTCAACTATACAGGTAAAGATACTGCCTCGTCAGAAATAATATGACCAAATTCTTATATATCTAGTGTTTTCAAAATGTGAATAACATCAGAAACCCTGTTAAAGTGAAAAATTTAGTTAGATTAAAAAGATGAAGAATTGAACAAAAAAAATACTGATGACACTGTTTCAAATATACATTTGAACTTAACTCTGTGGTTTAGGAATATAAAATGTTGATGTTATTAGAAGTCAAGTATTTTATAAAAACATATCAGTTCATTCACGAAATATAAGTTTTTTCAGCCCGAATTTGCAAATTTACAAAGCTAAAAACCCCAAAATGTGATGATAAAAGTTTCACATCATCAGAACCGTAGGACTAGTTTTTCACTTTTCTTTACAATATTTAAATTTGGGTCTAGATAGTTCAAAGCCAACACAACACTGAAACTAATTCTGATACAGCTTCCAAATCTTTCAAAGTTGACAAATTTTGACAAGGGTCTTTTGGTACTTTTTGTTTTGAACTTTGCTAGAAATTAGAATATTTCAGTGCAAACAATAACCAAAAGTATTTGCATGAGCAGTAAAATGACCTTCATTAACACCTTCAAGAAACAAAACAACAGCAGTTTTGCTACTGAATAAGAAGAAACAGAAGAATTTTTCTTCTTTTCTCTTCTTGTTTGTTTTTAATTCTTTTCTGAAAACTCTCGTCCTCTTTTCCTTGATATACTTCTCCAATTAGGTATCCCATTGTGGTCATATATACTCAGACTACACTCAATGCACCTTTTCAATTTATAGTTTCAAGTAATAGGAAGCATAAGATAGTCCACTAGTGTTTCAAATTCATTTTCCATGCTTTAAAACAGGAACTATCAGAGAAAAAAGCAACTGACTTTTGGCCAGAAAAACAAAAATATTGGGCAAAGGTAGGGCAAAACAATGCTGAATAACTACCCTGTGAAGAAACCTCACCAAATCGTCCATTTTCACAAAATGAAAGCTCTAATCCACAACTATCATTTATTTTAAAAGGAATTATCTGTAACATAAATAAATCAGACTAACTTTTTAGATATCTCCAAGCGAGTCTTAATTTTACAACACATTATTGATCTGCAGATGGTACATTATTAGCTACTAGCAATGTTCTTACAAGACTAGCATAAAAACTGTTTGTTGGTTGCTATATCTCTCATGCGCACAATTATGATATACACTGGCACTTTTTTTTAAGGGGAAACAGTTATTTAAGTGAGGATTATGATAAAATGCATCACTGGCCCACATGCACAGGGTTGCTATAATGCAAATTTAATGCTTGAACTACTATTTTGCACTTTTCAGCTTACCGTTCATTGGAACTACAATGCAAATTTAATTACTTTAACCAATTTATGAACAGTAATTAGTATGCCTACTTATTTACATGCTCTAATGTAGATTAATGTTAACTTTGGGGTCCCTTTTGGAGAATTCCCCTAAAAATGTTTTTGCAAAATACCCAGGTTCCCTAAAGGGTTGCATGAAAAATTTTACCTTTGTGTAAACCTCTGGGCTGAAACGATTCTTTTGGCACCACCATTTAAAAGCTGGTGAGGCCAACATTTTAGGAGAAGGGGTTTTCGGGAAATATCTGAGTTCTCCAAATGGTGGGGCAAAAATTTTTCCCTTAGTGCAATCCTCGAAACCAAGACAGTTAATTTTGTTCCACTTAGAAGTTGATGCGAGGAGCAGTTTAGGAGGAGTTATGTTACAAATGCACACTGAATATTATTATACAGATATAAAATATACTTACTTTTTCAAAAAAGGGCATATATAAATCCGCATACTTGCACTCTAGTGCATGTACTTCTTCATAAAACTTTGCTTCAAGTCTCGTACATTCTAACTGTAAATTCTTTAGGGCTTTGATTCTACGTTTCACTGACTTTGGTAAGCTAAAAATTTATAATCAACATCTTTTATAACACAATATTAGAATAATATTGACATACTACAAGTAAGTATATAACACAAAGATATAAGCATCTTAAAACACATACTTATGTACTGAACATTACAAAAAAAAAGACAAAAAACTTGTATATATACAATATACTAGGGGTGTTATGATAACTCAGACACAGCTTACAGTTTGACTTCAGGCACTATCAGTTCAAAATGTCCCCTCTACTCAAAGTCATTGATTGTTTTATTTTATACCACTGCATGTGTTGAAATGTGACTGTAGTTGACATTTGTTTGTTTGGTATACCAGGGGGGGGGGGGAAGCAGATACAAAAGACTGGAACTTTAGATACTTTACAGCACACAAGAAAATGCATAAATGGATAATAGGAAAGGATTAACTTCCAATGTCTGATTCTAAACATAATTTAAGGTGGTAAGCTCAATACATCAGCTCGTCTGAATCATATAATGTATTCTGTTCTGAAACAAGAGGGCTGATTTAATAATCTATTTGCCTTTTATTGTTACAATGAGTAACCAAAACTAAACACATAGGAAAATTCGGGCTTAATTAATCCTGTGATCTGTGTCAGCTCTGCAGTGTGACATTTACAGTTCTTATACTTCATAGAGTCTAAGTCCAACTAGATTAATCAGTTATGAATCAGTTTAAGCATGACAAGTACCTTGTTAGCAAAATTTCAAACCATGAAACTCCTAATATGCACATCATACAAATAAATAACATTACCAAGATAACATTTTCATTCTAAGATTTTAACAAATAAAACAAATTCCAGTTTTGAAATTACAAAAATCATTTATGAATGGGTTTTTTTATTTCTATAGAAACCTTTTGTATAATAAAAAGGATTGCTGAATAGAAATGTTTTGCATATATTAAGTTAGTTTCATAACATGTATACCCAGACTTTGTTTACATTATTCTAAAGTAAAAACCAATCAGTTAATATATTCACCATAAACACAATTAGGAAAAAAAATATCTGAAACTACCTATCAAGAAGTAAACATGTACACAACCAGCAACTACAATAATGAGAAGTGAAAATAAATGTTATTACTTCTCCTCTCTACTCAATATCTCATCCTTTGTTACTAAATAGAACTAGCAGAGATCTGCAAAACATTTGTGGGAAAATTAGTATCTTTATTTTGCAATTGTACTTCTTTAAATACAGGATTTCTAGAGTAACACAAAAGATTTCTAATTGCAGAAACTGAAATCTACAAGTACACTTATCTTAGTCCTAACATTAGTTAAGCCATTATTATGTATGGCCTATATTCAATAAAGAAATAAATTAACACTGTAACTTGTGTATATTTTTTTCTTTAGTTCAGTTAGAGCTAAACCTCATCACATTTAATGCTATCAATAAATATTCTTCTAATATTATTCTACGATCTAACGTTAGATCTTTCTAAAAACTTTGATTAGCTTTTAATATGTTGTATAAAATGTCTACTAAAGTAAATTTACATTCTTTTTGGCGTAACTCGACGATTTAACAAAGATACATTTCCAAATTGTGAAAAAGGTGCAAGTTTTTTACATTTTAGTCCAAATACATCATTAATTTTCAATCAATCGTAGAATTCTGACTTTTAATTGACAGGAAGCCAAACTACTTAAATTACCTAATAAGTTGCTATGACATCAGTGAGAGACCGAGAGATAGACAGAGAGATACACACAGTGTTTTATAGTACTAGATGTCACCTTTTAACCACCAACATCCTCTTTCTTAGCTAAAGAACAACTATGAACTACTTACCTTTCTATGTATCCTGATGGAGAACCTATCATACTACCTAGTCTAGACTGTAGAGCTGCTAGAACTTGTGGATTTTTCATCATCTCAGCTGTCAACAAACCTATGTATAGGGTAAAGTGCAAAAGTTTAGATTTCCTTGAAACAGGTAACTCATTAAGAAGTTGCTTCTAAGAGATAACTCACTTTTTAAAAAGTTACTCAATATTTGCCATAATCTTTCCTTTTCAGATTTTTTAAGTGACTACAAACTAACTTCAGGAATGCAATTTCTTTACAAGGTTTCAAAATTGAATCACATCGAGACATGCAAAACATCTGGTAATATCATACGGCCAAAAAAGGCTCATCTACATTAAACAACAGCATAATTCTGACTGATGTATCATTAAAGCAGAACACTAAGATAGACATATTATCCAAGAAAAAAACAAACATTTTTTGGACATTTTTACATATGCTTGATCAAGTTGAATATTAATGATTAAATGATGAACATTCATTCTGCTTTAATAATACAAACCTGTGAATTTAAAATTCATAAAAGTTGTTTTGGTTTTAATGATGAATTGGCAGATTAATTTATTTCACTGAAAAAAACCTGAAGTTCTTTGCTGCAATAAATGTCATTAAAAGCCACTTGTGAACGTGTTACCTACTACAAATATTAGAGAATGATGTAGACACTCTTTGGAGATTTTAAGTGTCTCCATGGCATTGTATTCAACAGCAAGGCTACACTATAATTACTAAGTAGGCTCAATTCTTTACGGACATGACTTTCTCACACTCTACAAGTTCCATCTTGCACGTAGCAAGAAAAAATATGCCTCAACTTAAAGTACTCTCTCTATCCCTATCACAGGAGCAGATTGAATATTTGGACTTTTGAAATCAGTTTAATGAGAAAAAGAAGCCTTTTGAAATGAATAGCTTACAGTTAAATAGGGTAGTTGCTGGTTTGTTTGCAAGGGCTATTAACTCAGCTGTAAAGCAACTTTAAACTAGGAATAAACAGTGGTGAGAAGCGAGGACCATGATAAACTAAATGCAGTAAAAATAAGATGTACAGAAAAGTGCAGAGTAGCAAAAATGTACACAAGTTGTTTTAAAGTTTGGCTTAATTGTTACTACTGTAATGCTATAAGTATGGGAAATAAAACAGATGACTCTAGATTACTACTAGTCAGAACAAAGGATTTTGATGTAATGGGAATAACTGAAACTTGGTTAAATATAGATAATTTTGATGACAGAAATTTCTCTCAAATACAGAGTTATATGTTATTTAATAGGGAAAGGGTACTAAAATGAAGAGGAGTGGCTTTACACATAAAATGTAAGTTACATTACATTCAAGTTGAGGATATCAAAGCTAACAACAAGGAGTTTGAATTTATTTGAGTTTCTTTCTGCTGAGATGAGAGGAAAAGGCATTTAGTTGGAATTTGTTACAGACCACTAGATGAAATTGATAAAATGAATGAGAAATTCTACAGCTAGGTTTATATTTTAGCTTTTAATGAGATCATAAATATGGGATAATAGTGGGCAGTTGCCAGAAGATTTGTAGATGGCTAATGTTACTCCTCTTTTCAAGGGAGATGATAAAAATTGTCCTTGTAATTACAGGCCTAATAGTTTTACATCAGTGGTGGGAAAAGTGTTTGAAAGTCTTCAAAACATGCTTTGAAAAGCCATTTAAAAATATTAAGAATAAAAAGCAATCATTTAACGAGATTTACAATTTTGTTGTATAATCAACAGTTTCACCAGGGGAAAATCTTTCCTTATTAATATTTTTACATTTTTTGAAAAGGTAATGCTTATGTAAATGAGGGTATGGATTTATATTTTCATAAAGCAATTGACAAAATGCCACATAAAAGGATCATTAAAAATCCATCTGTATAATGGGTGTGGAGGGATAAGTTAGCTCATTGAGTAGAAAAGTGGCTGGATGGAAGAAAGCAGAGGGTTGTTATTAATAGAGTTCAGTCAAACTGGATTAATGTCACAAGTGAGATATTTTAGGTCTCAGAGTTAGGGTCTAATAGTCAGTAAGTTACTTAAAGCTGCTGGTAATCTTTAGGCCTTGTGCATTTCTTGGCTGTGAGGAAGATGCTGTTGCTTTACAAAGGGATTTACGTTATTTGGTGAATTGGGCAAATAAATGGCAGATGGCTTTTAATTATATCAAATACAAGGTAATATACGTGGGTTACAATTTGAAGTATAACTTAATGGGAGTAACCTTAACAGTGCTCTGGCTGATCAGTCTCTTAAGCCATCCAAGAAGTGCTATTGCTGATGGGATGGAAAATAGGATTTTAGGTTGTATCTCCAGAAATACTGAATTGGAGTATTGTGTTTAAACTTGGTATCCTTACCTTAAAAAAGAAAATTGAATTGTTGGAAAGGGGTTCAGAGGAGGATTACTAGGATGACATCTGGGATGTAAAGGTTGTAGTACAAGGACAGACTAAGATCTCCGAAATTGCTTTGTCTATAAAAAAAGTTAGAGGGAATCTGATTAAGGTGTTTGAAATTGTTAAGGGAATTGATAGTGTTGACGCATGATCTTTTTTTCTTAATATTTAATCATGTGAATGGCAGGACTATGAAACAAATATAAATTTTGGCAGGGTAGGAGCCATCTTCAGCTAAGACAACTTTTTTTTTGAATAGGGTGGTTGGTCTTTGGAATGAGTCATCTTCAGTCATGGTGGATGCAGTAAATTTAAGGGAGTTTGAGGGAAGACTTGATAAATACTTTAATGATAAGGGCTAGTGCTTTAAGGTTTTTTTAAGTTTTAGTTTAGTGGATGTGATAGACAAGATAAACAACTAGGTCCCTTGTTATCATAAATTGATATTTTATAGTAGTTTAGTCTAAAAATATTATTTTTTCATCTTGTTTCATCTAGGCTTTAGCTTCCATAACTGTAGGTAATAGTACAGGCATGTAGTCATCAGTTAGCAGTTCATTAATCTTAAGTCTGAAAGCTACAACAAAAGCTCTTTGGCCCACTATATTATGACTAGTTAACAATAATCAGTAGCAGTCCATTTGAAATCATCACTGAAGTAGATATGTAGCAGCTAAAAAACAATGCTTGGCAGCTGTGTACTAGTGCTAAATGTAAATGTAGTCATTGTAATAAGTCAATCATGCTTGGTAAAACCAGAAAGAGAACATTTACTAGATAATTGATGCTGCTAGAGGTATCTGTGTCAATGATTGGTCTAAGCAAGTTTTCTTCAAGTTGTATAATTTATGTTACAGGTATAATGACAATAGAATGAGATTTAAAAAAGTCTATGATGCTGAAATGGCAAAAATTAGTTGCTACATAGAAGTAAGAAGTTGACAGTGACTGCACTGATAGCGAGGTTTGTTGCAATAAATGCTGACAGTATGACTGCAGTTACTATCACAGCTTATGTACCTATATAAAGTTAAAAGAGCCTAGTTCAAGGAATGCTTAAAGCAATTGCACATGAAGATTGAAGGAAGAATTCAATACTGTAAGAAAATGACAAACAGTTGTTTGATACTGCAAAAGCACTCTTCAATATCGAACAAAATAAAGTTGAAAAGTGTCTCTTAATTATTTGTTAGTCTGATTTATGAAATTGTGATATATATATATATATATATATATCACTATATATAATTATAATTAAAGCTAATATTATTATTTCATCAGAGAAAACTACATGTCACTTGAACCCATATAACCTATTGTTTACTAATATTTCATTTTAACCTTTCTTGTTAATAAAATGAGTCCCTTCGAACATGTTACTGCACCATTGACAACTACAACAATTTATTAAACTATATTTTAGAAATGCTGCAAAATCATTAGCACTGTAGTAGATGCTACAAGCTGCAGGTTTCTCAGCAATATTACACATGCTGTAGTTTAAAGAGTAAATATTGTTTTCCCTTTCTCAAAGTTACACCCAAGATTGTCAGAAGCCAAAGATTATGTGATAACAATGATTTAACACATTTATATAATAACAGTTCATTACTTAGGGGACTATCACCTTTTAAAACTATTGTAAAGAAAAGGAGCTAAGCTTCAAAATGATACGAACAACTTGCTAATAATTTGTAATGGAAATTGCACCATTTTCAGGTATTTAGAGGCATGGAAATTATGTTTCTCATGACATTAATCTTGTTGTAGTGGATTTTTTGTTACATTCTTTTTAAAGCTACAGATATTTCTCTACTTTAAAATGCTAGGTAATGATACTTAGCACTTGTGAGAACACTTGCCATAGAATATGTTATATGGCAACGGACGATAAGTCATTATCAATTGTGTTTTTGATTAGGTTAGATTTCAGTAGGCAACAAATTTACAAAAAACAACAACAACAAAAATCACAAAGATAAATATATTAATAAATATAAAAAATGGTAAAACTGTTTAAATACACAAAATACAACTCTGATCACTAATGATGAAAAATACAAAAATCAGATCTTGCATATTTATCTTTCACATACAAGTAGCATTTAAAATAATATACAATTCATTCAACATAATAAGCAGTTTCTGTCTTTGTGTCACGTTCCTTTTTTTTTGTAATGGTCTACAATTTACATCGTCGCTTAGCAACAAAACTACCAACTGATATTGTTGTTAGGCCAACTATGGTTATATTTTTTTGATAACTTCAGTGATATAACAACAAAACAATTTAATTCGGAAATGATTTAGATTTAGAATTGATATGTTTTCTTTCATGAGAGGTTTTATGCACTTGGGCTTAGGGTAAATGATTGCACACTACATCTTTAGGCTTAATTACAAAACAAATAGTAGTTTAGGCTCTCTTATCACACTGTGATAAATTAAATAACATTTATATTTTTTCAGTTGTTTAATAAATGAACATCTAAGTTTTTTGACATTGAATTGGAGACAAAAGAAAAATATAAGTTACCAAGGACTTCAATGAAGTAGTGTTTCAGCTAAGCCTTATGTTATGTTTATGTATTAGGCCTAATGCTTAAATTAGACTACAAATAAACCTACTATTACAAACGTTAGTGTCAGATAATATTTAGTTACATGTGTATAAGTGTGAACGCATAGTATTTAAATTATGCAATTAAAGAAATATTAACAGTGGAAACTTTATTAAATAAAGATGCTTACATTTTCAATTCATATCATCTTCCATTCTTTTCAGTTAAATCACGAAATCCACCCATCTCCCTTTGTTAAAACTGACCTGTTATTATTATGTTCTGAATTATAGTGTATGATTCCATATTCCTATAATATTCATTAGTTAATTTATAGCAATCTTTACAGTTTACACCCATGATTTTTGATGGGCTATACACTAGCTCATACATATTCTAAAGTAAATCAGTTGGTAAAAACTGTATCATATTTGTTGACTTCAGTGGAACAAGCAAAGTTATGAAAGGGATCAACAGATTCTACAATATTTTTCTCAGCTTGATGTATAACCAATATTACTACACTACAATAAAAGTCAATCAATTTAAAAAACATTCAAATTTCATATAGTAATTTGAAAGCTTTAGACAAAGTACACAACAACAAAGGAAACTAAACTGCATATTTTCCAATGTTCTTATACAAATTTTCACATACTCATGCTTGTTTTTCCTTCATCTTCCATTTCTTCAACTTCTTCCACACCTTCTGCAGTATCAATACCCCTACAAATGAAAGCACTTATTCATTCAAAAGTTACATAAGTTTCTTCAAAAAAAAAAATTCTTAGTATTATTAAAATAAAACTTATGTAAATAAACAAAGTACATTGTTCTTGTTGTTATCCATACCATAACACTTACCAGAAAGTTTCAAAATCTGTAAAATAACCAAATCTAAGATGTTTCTTCCTCAGCAAAACTACAATCTTGCCTTAAATCCTTGTAACTACAAAGCATAATTAATGTTAAAACTAATTTATCAAAGCAGACAAATTGTCATGTTTAGATATAATGAAACATCAAGGAAACACTTGTGTACATTGTCACCCTGGTTATTAACTAGTATTAGTAGAAAATTTGAACATAAGATGTGATTTATCTAAAGTGTATTCTAAGGATCATTAATATAAGTATGGTAGCATCTATATTATTAACATAAATTTGTCTTAAGATATGATCACAAAGATCATATTTTACTATAGTCCCTTTAATCACAGAAAAGTTGTATTTTTTTTTTTTGACTACTTAGAATTAGTTTATTTTTTTCCCATAACCAAATAATTTCTCTTTAGGTAATTCTTTACGAGGGAATAAACAATTTTCTCTTTTTACCAATTATATTTGCTTTTTTATTTTTTGTCAACTAAGATATGGGTGGTATTTAAGATTTTGCCTCTTTTATTATTGTATGTAAATATTATTTCAAGTTATTTCTTCTTTTTTTTTTTGCAATACGTTTGTCTGTTTGTACTGATTATGTATTCTTTTATTAGCTTTTCTTGAAAAACAAAACTAGTTTAGCTATTTGATAATTATACTTTTGTGTTTAGGATTATTTTCTGACTAGTACTTCATTTTCCAGTTTTATATTTTCACTTAGTAGTAGGATTGTTTTTGTCATCAAAATGGTTAGAACTGAAATGAAGAAACACAAAAGAATATGAAGGCTGTAAAGAGCGAGTTATATTTCACTTAGACTATTATGACAAGTTGTGGTCTTCATATCTAAGAAAGGATATTGGAAAAACACTAGCATAATCATTAGGATTTAGGAGTTACTTTATGGGGATAAGTTAAGATCTCTTAACTTGTTTTTGCCTCAGAAAAGAAGGGTAAGAGGCGATATTTTATTCAAGTTCACCTTATCCAGAGAGAATTGAAAAGATAAATGCCCCTGATTTCATATTTTTGAACTCTGAGATCAAAAAGATGTGAGAATGAAAATTTCACATTTAGAAAAGACAGATTATGCTCTTGTTAAGACAAGTTTTATTTTATTTTTTAATAAGGTGATTAACTTATGAAATGAGCTTCAGAAGCAACAGCAGCTACCTCTACTTACAAGAATTTAAGAGGGAAATAAATAATTTTCTGTTAATTAAGGATAGGTTTAACTTCTTTTCTTGGGAAATGGTGTGCAGTAACAGCCTTGAAGGACCAAATGGTTATTTGTTGTCCACCTGTTATGTGATGAAATTATGAAAACAGAAGGTTAAGCTGTGGTTTTCAGACTTATTATTGAGAAGTTTAATGAAACAGAATAAAACAAAAACAATGGCAAATCTTAAATCTGACATTCAATTTGTACAGGTAGGGTTTACAGAAAAATTGACTTTGACACCTGTGCTATAATATATTTTAGGATCTGTAAAAAATTTCGAAACATTTAACTGCAGTGTTCATGTAATAAATACTGTAAGAACAAACAAGGCTTCTGGTAATTTATGTACTTTTAATTATCAAATTTAATGAGTCCATCTGTAAGAGATTTGTACTTTAGTGCAGGATTCCATAACTTTGAAATACTCTTAGTCTTGTGCACCTAAGACTAGTATCGTAAAGAAATTACATAAATAGCATTTCATTTAAGACTTTCTATGTTGTTATGCAGCCAGTCTGATGAGCTATGGCACTGGGCAAAGGGTCTTGTCAGTAGCAGTATACAGAGCTTGCTAATTAGTGGTATTTATCAATTAATCAACAACACCATTAATTAAGTACATTTGAGTAATTAATTAGCACAGTATTCTTCAAACCATGATACATACAGGCAGGCTTAGGCAGCCATTTTCATTTTTTCTAACAAGAAGTTTAAAAATTGTGATAGTAGCAGACAGCCTTAGTACTTTACCATAACAAGAACAGGATGAGCAAATTTAGTGGCAACATTTCAATTACTTGGATAGTTCTAATAATCAAAAGTCATAATAATTAAAAACACTAATTTCTACTAGATGATTATTTTTGTGACAACCAATACAATCATATTTTTTGTATTAAGCAACTATTGGGATAATTGAAAACAGTAATTTCAATTTATCATAATTTTCATTAATCAATTAGTTTACACGACACTAACTGATATAACCGCTGCTCATAGGTAATCAATTATATTGATTAAATTGTCTAGGTCTGGTGGTGTAAAATAAACTGGAAATAGCTGAAATGATAATATGGACTCTTGTTAATGGGAAAAAAACCATATTGATCCACTAAGAAAAGATGAGATTTAAATTATCGGTGTTATTGTGACATCATACCATAAAAACAGGCAATTAAAATATCATGCTCCACCACCTAAGGCATTCTATACCCAACAACTTTGTTTTGTAATGACACTTCTAGATGTATATTTTGGATGAATATCATTTCATATTAAGAATAGGAAGATACTTGTGATAGTTTTACCACAGATGTATCAAAGAAATAAAGTCGACATTTAATAGTACACAATCAATTTAAAATGAAATTGTTCCCAGTCTTAAAATACAATAACAAATGGTTTTACTTAATAATTTTACTGTATAAAGATAAAATAAAATACTCTGCATGTTTTGACATCTCATTGCATCATCATTAGATGTGCAATATTTTGCAAGAATTAAGACCTAGATACAATTTCAAAAATCACATGATCAAATTTACATACAATTCAGCTTGAACAATTTCACACCACTTATTAACATTTCCTTCTAGTCCTCCACCCTTACATTTGATTATCTCAGTAGATTCACAGATATTATTACCATTGATACTTGGATGTTGTGCTAAAATAAGTTTTTTGCCATTGACTCAAGTGTTTAGTTTCATCAGTATGTTTATTGTTAATTTATTCTGTACTTTAAATTTCTTTCAGTTTGTCCTATATAAATATTTTCACATTTGCATGTTATTTCGTATTTATGTTTTTCCATTAAATCAATTTTATCTCTAGTTATATTGAAAACCTTGTTCAATGATCTATATATCAGAAAGATATTGTTTTTTTAAATGTTGTGTATTTTTATATTCAAAAGAAATTGATAGAGATAAATAAAAGCAATTAGTAAATTTAATTTACATGTAATTGTTAAAAGACGACAACACAGAAGGCAAAAGGTGGTGATAAGTGGACATTTTTTACATTTAAGCCTATCTTACAATTTTTGTTTCTGCTGTATTTAGGAAATAATATTTCTGAATTTGCTAAGGAGACTAATAGGAAAGCCTGGTTCTGAGGAAAAGGCTTCTTTAACTTTGAAAAATCTGGACATTTTTAGAATTGACTAGTATGTGTAAAATGAATATGAATGTTGGAAATTATGATGAGTGTAATTAATGTATTAAATCTTTATAGTGAAATGCATCTGTGTTGTGGAAAAAATTGCACTCAAGTCTTAGGTCTGAATATTGATGGTTACCTAAACTACTTGGCCATTTACCTTATAACCATAATAAAACAAGTAATCATATCTTGGATATATTTATACAAAGAAAGAATTTAAAAATAATAATATAACTTTGTAGAATACTGCTGAGGTCTCTTTCAGAGTTTTGTGATCAGTTTTGATTTCTTTATTACAGGAAAAATATCAGTAAGTTAGAAATAGTACAGAAACAAGTGAGCAACAGACAGGCTTAAAAGTTCTGGATTTGCTTTCTGTGAAGCATGTAAAAATTATATGTGATTTACTTTGGGTTGGGTTTTTAAAATTATTAAGGGCTAAGATAACTACACACAAGTTCTGTTTAAATAGTGAAATCATAATGTTAGAAATCAGGACTCTGGTTATAAAGGTATTAAGTATGTGAGCTTTGGAAGTATTATTAGTTTATTTTGTGGAATAGCTTACTCTATGATATCTCAGGTACTATTTAATTCAGCAGCACATATTTATATTGCTTAAACTACTGGACACAGATATGACCTTCACAGACCAAATGATTTTCTGCAAATTAACATTTTTTTTTCTTTGAACAGAAACAATAATTTTTATCCTTACAACTACATGGAATCTTCATGATACATAGAGTTTTGGAAAAGTTAAGACACTAATGCCTTGGAATATAGACCCTGAGAGTTTACACTCCAAGAGGTTTTAATATATTTTAAAAGCAGTCCTTTGATACAGATACAATATACATCCTTAGAAACCTGATCTTCTCTACTACTGAACAAATTATCCAAGGAAAGCCTCCCTTTTTTAATCTTCAGTTAGGTATTCTGGACAAACAGGTTATTTCCTCTATGTGGTCTTAATAACACCAGAATCAGAGGAAACCTGTGCACACTTCATTTTGTGTAAACCTTATGTTTAGTATTAATCTAGTTTCCTTTGTTCATTCATTTAATGACAAATTTTATGGTGGAATCATGTCACTTCCAATAGAAGTTTTTCAGCTTATGTAGATGAAAAATCATATTTCCCAATGAAAGGAATTTCTTAGTTATTAATCCCTTACCTAATACCTATACAAACATCAAAAGTGATTACTAAAGCCTAAATATATTCTTAAACAATACCAGTTTTAATTAAAAACTATTCTGCCACGTGATTATATATATACATGACTACACAAAAGAAGAACAAGAAAACGTAAACCAGTCAGTAACTCTAAGTGAAGACAACATAAACCTGTTTCTATTCCCCACAACATTCAGTTGCCTGAACATTATGGACAAACCACTTCCACAGTGTTCAGTAACTCCACTATACTAAGGTTGTTTAAATAAACAAGTTTGAGTCATCTTTTCCATGCGTTAAACATAATATCTTTTCACATTCACATTCAAATAAGCTAACTCTCAGTACTTCCAATATGAATAAAATCACTAACATCAGAATGTTTTTTTTTTTGACAATCCAAAATACTTTGTATTTCACTCACAAAAAATTGTAACATGGATACACTGATGTAAAAAATTTTGGTTCACACAAGGGAAAAACCAAAATTAATTAATTAATTTTGTAATGCATTTGTTGATTTTAGAGTAATCATTAACATCAAAAATGTTTCCATGTCTGTATATTACCTTCGACATTTTTCAGGATGCATGGGAAGCTTGTGCTTGCAGTATACATTACAAATAGGCTTGACTGATATAAAAAATAGCTGAGCTCAGGGATGTCACTTGGTTTTCTCTCCTTGCAAAGACCTCAGTCATGCTACTATCAATGACACAAGAGAGGGCTATCAATCATCTTCAGGTTAACAAAGACAGTTTGAAACTGACTGTTACTGTTTCAAACTGTCTTTGTTAACCTGAAGATGACTCAATAAGGTTGAAATGCTGTTCTTATACTTTATTTTAATTAAAGTTTTTTAATATCCATACCAGCCATCTCTGCTATACATTTTTACTTCAAGTGGGTTTCTCGTCATTATTTATCTCACCAAGGTGACTTGTTAATTAGTCATGTCAGATTACCTTGGCTTTAATGTCAACACATTTTGCAGTCAAAAGAAACATGACTTTTATCCCATTATTAAGCAGCTTGTTTGTAAGGCAGTCAATAACAGTTCATAAGCTGTTACTTTTTGCATCTCTGAAAATTAATGGTAGTTGATAATAAGCCTGATCGTTAGATTAAAGGATACCTATTCCAACTTGTAATTATTAAATAATGATCACACACATTTGTTTTCAAGTGGTGAAAATTGATGAACTTTATCAATTTCAAAATAAGTATTTGTCAAAGTACACCACGACGTCACAGACAATAATTTCTTTTTTTTTCACCTTGCACCACAAACATATACACATTTAACAGATCCATAACTAGCAGATTATCACTATGGTATGAAGGCAAGACATAACAGTTGTCAGCATCTCTTAATTTTGTCACTGTAATAATTCAAGTGTTAACCCTCAAAATTTCATACCCATGGGTATTTCATGCTTAAATCCAAAATCCTATGGAGAATGCTGATCAGTCAAAACCTCCAATTTTAACAAAGCTAATTCAAAAATCACCCAGAAAAATAATGAAGAATCAAATAACTCTTTCTGCAACTGCAACCATAAACAACATTTTGTCAACATTAATGCTTCTTTCAATTCAATCCTCAATTATTGTTCACAATAAAAATACCCTAAATTAAAACATCTATATATTTTATTTTTCAAACATATGAACCAACTTACTTTTCTGGATCAGCCATATCTGAACCACTTAGTTGTTCTAAAAATAAAAACAAAATATTAATCACATGAAAATCTTTGAGAGGTCATTGTGGTCAATAGCAAGCAAGAAGGCTGAAAATTTTATTTGAAGCATACCTAATACTTGTATAATTTGAGAACATTCTTTATTGATGTTTTCTGTAAAAAATAAAATGAAAATATGGCACATTATATGTTAACTATAACTTACCAGCATGATACAAGTTTGAGTTTCTCACAAATTACATTAAAATTTTATTTGATTAACAACTTTTCTAGTGGAAATATTTAAACATATATTTTGAGTTTCATCTGCAAACTTAATTATGAAAATAAGAAGTTATGTTAATGTGTTGTTCTATATGTGGCATCTAGTTAATTAATATTACACACATTTCAGTTACTATTTTAAGTTTTCATATCAGTATTCAAGTGTTACAAAGCTTAAGAAATAAAAACAAAAAATAAGTCACAATTAAATTTCATCTAAGAATTAGTTTGGATAGATAAGAATCTGCACAAGATTTTCTCCACAACTGGAGTTTCCTCTAAATATAGATGTGTTATAGTATTAGTAATACTATGATTTATCAACAAATTATTAATATTCAAATTGCAAATACAATTTTTACTACATAGACAATAGGCCTATTTGACAAATAACCAATCACATTTTTACTTTCATCCAATGGGCAATTTGTTATTGTCCAGTCATTTTTGAATATCTCATTTTTTTAATTTAAAATTTGGACCTATCTTAGCATAATAATGATAGATTATCCATGTCACTTGTCAGGGGTTATGCTTTATATTTTGTTTTAGTACTTCTACTAAAAGATATATGTATGTTGTTTATTTCAATTCTTCCATCGCTGTAACTACTATATATATATATAGTGTTAATATTATTATCTACATCATTGAAAAAATTTCAATTTAACGTCGTGCCTTAACTTAAAAATTTATTTTCACCTCCCTGTTGTTATACGAGCAAATAACTTATTAATAAATCTTATTAGACTGATTAGTTTAAAGAAATACTGTGACACACAAAAGTTTAACAACCAACGTATCACTCATTACGGCAGCAAATATTTCTTCAAAAAACGATTAGTATTATTATTGCCGTACACAATCAAAAACTGGCCTAAAAGTAAAACTAAAAATATACTTGCACTAGTAGTATTACTTGTGTTACTACTATTAGTAATTACTAGTATGCTAATTAATTAAGACTGAGACTACACTAAAAATGTAAATAAATTTCGATTTTATCTATCCTTATTATGTTTTGAACTCAAGTTGAAAATTAATATTTTATAACTTACTTCTCTGCTTTAAGCGCCTAGATTAGTAATGTCTTCTAATTTTACATAGAACTAAAGAATGCTGCAGCTTTCCCCCACCACGAGGCGTAATGGCGGGAAGTTAGGCTTATGCAATTGGCTAAGAAGAAAAAGACAATTAATCTAGCCAATCATTTTTCATAAGCCAAAAATTGAGAAAAACTGTATAATAACAACGATATCATATTAAATAAAATACCGTTTTTTCATTATTTTCCATTGCTGTAATATAACTATATAATTTAATTACTGACAATAAGCGACCTCTTCAATTATTAAGAAAAATACTCCAATACCAAATACCAATCTTATTTCCCGTAAATAAATAAGTTTTTACCTTTTGAATACAAACTACGTTGAAAAGGTTATACTGTGTGCGTAATTACACACACAAAGACGCATACAAATCATAAGCTGAGTTTGTTGTTGTTTTTTTGTAAAAAGCTATACACTCGTATATCTGCGCTCTGTAAGCTGCGCTGAATCGAGCCCCGGATTTTAGTGCTGTGAACTTGTGAATACGCGAACATGCAACTTTGACCTTCCTAAGGACACAATAATTAGTTTGTAACCAAGAAACAAAAACTAATACTGTGGCAAATCTTCTAAAGTCACACCTTAGCATGTCCCGTTTTTAGTGTACAAATGGAACAGGCTATTTTTAACCTCGGAAGACAAATATGAAATTATCCTATATTGGCATTTATTCCTTTTATTTGTTTATGATAGAAGTGTTACTATTTAGTTTGAATATAAATTATATCGTTCATGTCATTCTACAACTACGATGAAGGTAATAATGTCGAATTTCTTATGTAAATATCAAAATATTAATATAATAAACATTGCTGTGAACCTATTTTATTTAGAAAATACTCAGGCGTAACTCAGTGGTTAGAGTGCCCAAACTGTGAATCCAAGGGTTCATGGTTCGCATTACTGTAAAAACACACTCTGCACTTTGGGGCCGTTGGTACATTATAAAAGTAACGGTAAAATTCCACTATTCGGTAAAACAATGGGAAATTATCAGGTGCAGTGATTTCCTCTAAACATGATTGGGCAGGCTCCAAAGAATAACAAGAGGTTCGACAGAAAATTTATCATGAAACAAATCTGAATTATCAGAATTTTAAGCAAATTTGGAAAATGAAAGAGACTAGATGCAATGCGTAAAATAAAAAGAAAAGAAGCAGTCTTTGTTCAACTCACAAAAATAATAAAATAGAGTACAATTTATAACAGATAGCTCCTTTGCAAGATGATCCTCTCTGTCTAGAGTGTCATAATTTATTGAGAAATCTTTATCTCTCTAAAACTGTTCTAGGCTGAGAAAACATAGCATTATATACACGAAATAAGAATGCTACTATTATCAGGATATGTGCACTATCCATATGACTGTTGGTCATTCTCATCGAAAAATATGAGATGTTGCATAAATTCCATGAGTCAACCGAGTCTTTAGTCCACTGACTACAGAGAGTTGAGTAAGTAATGTCAAAATGATTTTGAATGTGCAACTTTGCAAATCACGGACAACTATGGTCAATGTAAAGTTGCAGTGGAACAGAATGTATCACAATTGCATTTTGACATTGCTTTGCAATTCATGGGTAGTATGATGCCACTAGAAATTGATCACTTTGGAAAGGGTCTGTAGCAGATCCTTCCAATGCAAAATATTCATATAATCAGGTCATAAAGATATGATTATAACAATGACTTAGAATTTCCTAGATGACGATATTCCTTGTACTTTGGGAAACAAAGGAATATATATCAACTTGGGCCACCAGGACATCCAGAAAATCAGCTCCAACTATTCATACCCCAATTATGGTACACAAATTGTGATTTCTTGTAACAAGTGAGAATCCACAAACACAAAGATCAACTTCACTAACTAGTTCACAAAGTAAGAATCACCAACCCCTTTAAGATGTTCATTTGATAGTTATCTAGCTATCCTCTCTGCTGTATTCAAGTGGTTGACCAAAACTTTTCTATGGATATTTTGTTGTGATATTTTACATAATACATCAGAAAGTAAGAGCACCTTTCCCTCATAGCTTTAAGATTTCACAATCATCCTAACTGCTGATCGATTTTAATCCCAACCTTACTGATTTGGTGATTGATGTAATTTGGCTAATAAACAAATGATTCGTTCTACTATTAGTTCATCTTCTTGTGATTCGTCAAGAACAGCTATGAAAGTGCTTACAATATCGTTTTCATCTTCATTTGTGTCAAAATAGTGAAATATAGTGCTCTCACTGTCTACTAAATTATTAATATAGTTTACAACTGGTCCAGTCAATGCACTATAGATTCATCAGTGATATACAACTTTAGTTTATCAACATGTCCAACATTCTTTTGCATCCCATGTAGTCACCACAGCTCATAGTTTAATAGAATGAGCTAAGGAGAAGTAAATTACTAGTCCAACAGAACTGTTTTGCTATCTGGCATGTTTCAAAGCTGTATAAAGTCCATTTGCCTGTTACTCTGTTACATGGCTCACCATCATAGCTTGCAGCACGTGCTTATCCCAATTATTTCAGTTAGATTTCACAAGTATATACCTGACAGTTTAATTATCTTTTTCAGACAAGTTGTTGAACTGATAGAGCGTGTATGTTCATCATATTTAATATCCAGCACCATTCTAGAAACAAATGAATGCTAAACTTTGCTCCTTGATCCATGCAGATTTATCCAGATGCTCCAAAATATATTAGACTCTCATCAGCTAAAATGCCAATTATTAGATGAGCTTTGGCTCACATGGTGAAGTAGTAATAACAACAACAAGTACACATCAATTAGTATTATCACATTCTAGTAAAGGGTAATCTGTCTCCAGGACTATTCTCTGCAAGGAGAACCTACATTCACTTCTTGAGTTTTAGCTGACATGGTTGCTTTTCCAATAAATAGTACAGTGTTTACATCATATCTTAATGTATCAATGTTAATGCTGTACGAACATTTGTTTTTGTTCTTTTTTGTAGGTTGAATAACAATGAACACCATGGTGTTCTTCAGTACTTGTACCATGCAATGCTCAAAGTATCTCCTGCATCAGAAACATCTAGAGTACTATGTGCATCAAATCTACATGGCTCATTACAGTGATACAGAATAAAATATTGTTCAACTCATCTCTTCATATAAGTTTCAGAAGATTCTTGCACCCATGTTAATGCTGTATTTATCAAGTTGTGTAGCTCATGCTTTATCTTGCTGTACACCAAACAGCATCCAAGCTAATTATGGATCTTTCAGTTGTTTTTCTGAAGCTTCTGATTTGTCACATGTATAATATATCTGCTCATGAACTAATCATAACTTCTTTGGTTCATTATTAATGCTGGTACACTTGTTTTCATGACTGCGTGGTCTCCAGGATCTGAACATAAAACAATGGACATGCTATAACTGTCTGACAAAATAATCCATCTGTATCGCCGCCCTAATGCCTCAGATGTTGGTGTATTTCTGCTACATTGTAATCCAATATGTGATCATATCTTCCAGATTTGTGATGGCCATTGGTTATTTCATTGGTTCATGGTCCACCCTTATAGTAAATCTCCTACCATAAAGTAGTAACAGTAGTGGTTGACAAATATTATATCTGCCAAGATTTCTTTCTTTTTTTTTTGCGGTAACTGTGCTTATTAGCTGTCGAAATACGACTTTTTTGTGCAATTAAATGTTTCACTATTTTCTGCACTTATAATAATAATTTTCTGATGCAACTACCAGAGACCTCTGTATTTCTGATGAACAGGCAACCTTGTATGGAATAAACCAATACTGATAACTTAACTAAAACGGATCTTAGTGACTGAAATGTTCTCAGATTTCAATCAATCTAAAATGCAAATCACATTGAAATACTGGCGCAGATAACGTGGAGAAGTTGGACACAAAATATTGATAATACAAAATAAATCCCAGAGAGACAGAGTTTCATATTTATTCACAGGCTGGGGACGGTTCTTAATTACGGTAATCTTTACAGAATCAGTGAACACTTCATGTATATCAACAATATAATTGAGAATCCTTTACACTTTTATACATTAGCACACATACTTTCCTGTCTTTAATTTTAAATCTGATTTCTTTATCCATTGACACATCCTTCTCAGGTTCTCAGCTACAGCATACTTAAAGGTATGGCCATAAACCATAATGTCATTCACTTAGATGAGATACCTCTCAAAATGAAAACTTTTTTCAGCAGGTATATTACACGTATCAAATGACATGATGCAAAAACTACACAAGCTATTTTGAGTACTAACAGAAGGTTTAGGTTTGGTACTTTAATTCAGCCTTATCTGCCAGTAGCCAGCCATCTTGCACCATATCCAATAATTCATCTGTGCATAGCAAAAGAAACAGATTAAGATGTGTTACTGCAGGACATGCCTAGAATAAACATGCTCTCTGATGGGTTTATTACTTCATATTTCAGTATTTATTCTATGTCAATACTGAAAACATTCACTATGTTTCAGAACTGGCAACATCCCTGGTGCTCAAAAATGTACATAGAACAGTTATTTTGTCAGATACCTCTCATCTAGTCCATCAAACATATAGGCAAACTTTACCATCAACTCACTATGTTCTTATTGTTGTTTTAAACCGAGATAATCTGCTCAAGCTTCAAACAATACATTCGTGAGTTTTAATAATCATGTGTTTGCACTTGGATGCAGTGTGTCTGACGTAACACTTTCTACACAGTTAGCTTCAATCACTTCTGCTTCATTCGCTGTCCCAATAACCACATAGTTAGTATTGAATCTTTGGTTACAAACCATCACTGAAATAAAACTTATATTTACACAGATAATCGTTCACGTAAACACAGCTTGGTTTATGGACAGAAAATAACGTTCCATATGTGTATTCTATCATCACATCAGACAGTATCGTGAAAATATGGTACACTGTGAAACAACACTTAAACGTTAGGTTTGTGTTTGTTTGTTGCTTAGGTCGATCTCGAGTCTTTCAAAATGCAGGCACCACAGAAATAAGTACTGTAGTCTTCTCCTTCGTTTCTAACTTTAACCATGACA